GCAGACTAATAAGTTACTGATCTCAATTGAACAAGGTGACTTGTGTAGACTGCAACACTGGACACACCAGAAATGCAAAGCAGGTCAACCTTGAGGGACGTGTGAACTAATGGGTGTGGTTTAAAGGTGTGGCCAGCTCAAAAATTAATGCAATAATTAAATTCATATACATGTACTGCTATATGTTGCATAATATTTTGAGCTCATTTCAATCAAAATTGAATTTTTTTTTGCAAAATTTTAATGTTACTCTAAAATTGGGCCAAAGTCCCTGTACTATAGTACAGGGACACGGGCCAAATTTCACGAAAGATGAAAAATAGAGAATTGTCAATTTTATGATATTTCCAGATACATATACTTGTTCTTATGTTGCGTACAAAATTTGAGCTGATTCCGCTCATATTTAGATTTTTTACAAATTTTTTGTTTCTCAAAAATCGGGATAAAGTACCTGTACTTTAGTAAAGAAACTTTGGTCAAGTTTTGCCAAAATTGAAACGTACAGAATTCTCAATTTATATGATATTTTCTGATGCATATACATGTTCTTATTATGTGTAGAAAGTTTGAACTGCTTCCAATCAAAATTAAATTTTTTATGAATTTTTAAAGGTAGTCCAAAATCAAGTCAAAGTCCCTGTACTATAGTACAGCTTCACTGGCCAAATTTCACCAAAATTAAAAAGTTGAAATTTTTCCATTTTTATAATTTTTCCTGATGCATATACATGTACTTATGTTGTGTAGAAAGTTTGAGCTGATTCCGATCAAAATTGGATTATTTACGAATTTTTAAAGTTACTCAAAAATTCAGCTTTAATACGTGTACTGTAGTACATGGTCTTTGGCCAAATTTCCCTTTAAAATAATTCACTTTTTAAATTACATTTCCTGATACATAAACATGTATCATATACTGTAAGAGGGAAGAGTTTATACAGGACATACCTATCAAATTTCAATACCTCTCCCCTCACTGTAGCATGTGAACTATTCTACCATTCATCTTTATTCCTTAAGTACTGTAATGTACTGCTATACTGAAGATTATATTGTGTATTATTAATGTACAATGATTCCAGTACTTGATATAGCATGAATAAGGTTCATATATTAATAATCATGAATGTTTATAAAAGGCACACATACACTTGCCTTGTCTTGTATACATTGTTGGTTTATTTTGATGACTAATACCAACAATGCTCCTCATATCATCTCCTGTATGTATATAAACTCTACATAAACAGAAAGCATTTGGACTTAGCCATGGCTATGTTTAGTTAAAGGAAATGTTATGATAAACTTTAAAGATAAAGGGACAACATGATCCATTAAAATATTCACCTAATACCGTATGGCTAGAAAATTCCGTGGGGTATTTAATTTCGTGGATTTCGTGGGTAACTTCTTAACCACAAAAATTAATACCATGGAAATGCTCACTGCGCATGCGCAGCATGTGAAAATCAATGACTTAATGCAAGTGCACGTGCAAAAACACGGAATTTAACTCCCTTGAAATTAAAGAATTAAGAGCTTTTCACTAAAACATGAAAATTTATGCCCTCGAAATTTTCTAGCCATACGGTAAATATAGTCAGATGATATTATACACTATATCATACATACACTAGCTAGTATTACTACTACTAGTATAACTACTACTACTGAAGAGTTGGCATAGGGCATAGCTATCACATTTCTGTATACCTCTCCCCCTCACTATAGTATATGTCAATAATGCTGTTATTTCCTTCTCTGTTACTACTTACATATTCCTATCATTTTGTCTCTTCATTACTAATGCATTATATACCTAGTCCCAGCATTGATATGTCATATAGCAGGAAGAGAATGAGTGAGAGATGGGATGAAGAGAAAGGGATCCAGAGATCAGAGGAAGAGAGAGGGTGAGCCATAAAGTGCTGTCTGATAATCTGATAACAGATAGATTACCATCAGTATTGTAAACTAAGTACTTGTTAATGAGCTCTGACAGTAACATAGCTATAATGATAGAAAGGGGAGGAAATGTGATATACTTGTTTGCCATTATATGTACACAGTTCCCAGTAAAGAGGGAGGGAATAGTTTGTATAATCAACCTTAGACTATACTATATCCACCTCTTTGTCTTTATTATAAGGTCATACCAATAGCATACCATAAGTACATGCAAGTACATGGGTACTTACATGTATGGTACTGGAGGTATGTATGGTGTACTGTTGCATGCAGTGTAGGTCTAATAGTCAATATTATGTTAATATTTTGTACTTGTATAATGCTACAGTGACTTTAATATGACAGCTTCACTATATACTGCAGTGATTGTGGTAATGAACAGGTGTTTGGTGGAGAGTATCATATAATCAAATTTATAAACCACTTATGACAGCTGCTCTCACACAACATTCCATTCTTAACCACACTGTGCTAAAGTATAGTATTTTGTCCTAGTTCTCTCTCTCGTTTCTCAGTTATGTTTCTTAATTGCTCTCACTCATGATCTATATGTACAGCATCACTTTATGTCATTGATGGCTAATATTAATATCAATTAGAACAAACTTTTCAATTAGTTAAACTAGACTAATAATAAAAAAATACTCAATATAAAACTAGTTTATTTTATTGTTTTCTTCAGTGGATCTCCCTCATCAGGTTGATCTTTCAAGCATTTTAGGACGAACCTTGCACACGAGACAGCTCCAAATGGTTGCCATGTTTTGTCTTTGTCTTCATTTCCCCAGTCAACGATAGATTTTATTACTATCCATTGGAATTTATCTTTCTTAGCAACTGCAACCCGATTTATACCATTTGCCTCCATTTCTCCTCCAAGTGCTTGTGGAACTTGCTTTAATATTTTCTGTTTTTCTTCTTCGTTGCGATGCAGTGTAAACTCAGAGGCCAAGACACCAACGTGAACTTTAACTGATTTATCTTTAAAGTTAAAGACTTTTTCATGTTTGAATAAATTCAACAGTTTCTCTCCACAGTGATATGTGTCTGGCAAAACATTTCTTTTTTCTTCACTACGCTGATGTTCAGTGTTGACGATACTTTTGGCCACAATAATGTTGGCTAGTTTTGTTTTATCGCCAAGTTCCTCAGTTTTGCTCTCCTTTGCTCCATAACATATTCCAATAGCAATGACATACTCAGCTTTCACGTCATCTAGTACTGAAGTAAGAACTTTTTGGGTATTATCTGGGCCCTGCTCTGTCATTATCACTGCAACATTACACCGCCCATATTTTCCTAAAATAAAATTTGTCGATCCATCTTTAGTGATAACTTTGATATATTTTCCATCTCCTCCAGTAGGTGCAGTGGCACCCATTACAGCACGATACTCTATAGATGTGGCAGTCACCAGAATTACATTGACTTCTTCTATGAATTCTTGCTGCTCTTCCTTGGTTAGGTGGGTCGAATATTTTTTTATCATTTTCTCTTCACTCTCCAAGTCTTCCAGTTTTGGAAAAAATTCATTGACAACTGGAGGCTCTATAACAGTGTACATTATTATTATTAGAATGATTAAGATTATTCTAACATACTTTGATCATCACTTTTACTTTTGTCTTTACCAGCTGCTGCACTTTCAAGTAGTTCTCTGTAAATACAACAACAGATTCATCAATTGGAGTCAGTAAAGGATATTATTTTACTTGGGATCAATCTTTTTACTTTCTTGTTTTGTCCCAGTCTCATGGCTCTCGGCCAAATCTGCTTTTAAAAATCAATAATTATATATTAATAATACATGAAAGAAAGAGAAAGAGAGAGAGGGAAAGAATGAGAGATTGTGTTCTAACAATCACAATTGAATTAATACAGAAGTGCTCCCATAGATACAGCAAAGAAT